ATTTCTAAAACTGGCCCTAAACTCTAGGACTCTAGACATCCTCTAGCCTCAGCCTTCAGAGCTGGAACTACAGGAGTGCACCACCAGGCCTGATGCTAAGCTTTAGCTTTTGTCTGTTTCTATGTTTAAACCAGCACAGTACAGTTGAGAAGGTTCTGCCTTTGAGTTCTATGTCCTAGACCACTTGCTCTGTGACTTTAGACAAGTCACCTCCCCTCTCTGGTCCTCACTTTCCCTGTCTATAAAATGGGGGATTTGAATTAAATTTTTGTTGAGATCCAGTTTAATGGTAACATTTAATGATTTTACATTAATATAATAATAATAATAATAAAATTAACGGAAGGAAAGTAATTGAAAAATAGGAAACAAGGAATCTCTGATTGTTGCATGATGCTTAAATTAATTTACTTTATATCCTCAGGCATGCAGTAGATGTGTAGGTGGAGGTCCAAGAAACAGTCACTGGGAAACATTGTTCCTTCCCAAATGCTCCACCTCCTACTTCTGTCCCTCATCTTTACCCTCAAGGTCAAACAGAGAAGACCACCCTGATTCAGACTCTCACCCACTCTCCAGAAGCATTGACATTAAAAGAAAAAATGATTTTGTGTTTTGTGAGTCCTTCTGGTATGAGGGTTAGAACCCTAAGCTAGGAGTCAGATCACCAGGCCCCACCTTGGTTCCATCCCAGTTTCACTGTGTGACCTTAGACAAGCCACTGGTCTTGACCTCATCTATATAATGAGGGGCTGAACGGGCTTCTCTGTAAGAGTCCTGCTTTAATATTCCCCTGTTCTGCCCTACTGGTGGATGCCAAGGCTGGGAGAGGCCAAGTTCTGCAGGCCAGCATTTCTCCAAACACTCCTGGAAAGAGCAGACAACCTCCAGCACCCTGAACAGGCTGGTGCCAAAGTGTGAGCACAGCCAAGCATCTGCAGGCAGTATGGGGAGCCCGAAACCAGGCGAGGTGTGAAGGCAGGCAGGACTCCAGCTGAGCACAGGATGACCCAGCCAGGGCACACTGTCCCAACCCAAAGTTTACAGAGGGTCTCTTCCTCCTAGGATAAAGAAGGAAAGGCCTCTAAAAGAATCAAAAACATGTGATTTGGGGACAGATGATGACAGGAAATGCAGCTGAAGGTTCTTCATTAGTAGTCTATTGACATACGCACTGGAAAATATACATGTACATCTTGATACTTACACATGAAATGAACACCACAGTGAAACAAGTACAGATGGAGAAAGAGAACAATATCTGAACAATATCTGAATAATATCTCAGAAATCCTCCCCAGGCCCTCTGAGTCCCTTGTTCCCTGAGGATATCTGCCTATCCGAATTCTAACAGCATAGATTCATTTCACCAGGTTTGAACTTGAAATGGATGGAATTATACAGTATGGACTCTTGAGTCTAACTCCCTTGCTCAAGATTGTTTGTGAGCTTCATCCAGTATGACAGGTAACAGGCTTTCATTCATTCACACTTTTGCATAATGAGAACTTACAAAGATCTAAAGTCAATGAGACAACCTTGAGTCTAGGGCAGGGTGCTCACTGATAGAAGAGGAGGCAGGTGCCAGGTGTAGTGGCACATGCCTGTCATCCAGTAGCTCAGAGGCAGAAGGATCACAAGTTTGAGGCCAGCCTCAGCAACTTAGTGAGACTCTGTCTCAAAATAAAAATTAAAAGGGCTGGGGATGTAGCTGAGTGGTAAAGCGCCCCTGGGTTCCATTGGCAATACCAAAAAAAATAAATAAGGAAGTAGGTTTACATACCATCCTCCAGAAATGAGGTTAACCCCCAGGTGGGGCTTCTCACACCTTCCTCCTGAGGGCTGCAGAGCGGGGAGGTGGGGCCTTGATGTCCCAAACTTATTTTAATATTCCCCTGCTCAGACCATTGCTAGGCCCAACACCTTAGATTCAACATCTTCAACTCAACATCTCATACCATTCCATAGACATGAGGCGGGGACTGTTATTTTTCCCGTTTTACAGAGAAGAAAACAGAGGTTGAGTAAGTTGTCCTAAGGTTGCACAGCTATGAGGGGAACCCGGACAGCAAACCTCTGTACTACTCTGAGTTGGCAGGAAGTTCACCAACTAGACCTGGCTCCCACCTACCTCCTCTGGCACTGCTTACCCAGCTCACTTTTCAAGGCTACACTGACCTCTTGCCATCAATTCAGGCCTCAGGCTCTTCCCGCCTCAGGGCCAGTCCATGCTGCTGCCTTTGCCTGGCATTTACTCCTCAATTCTCAAAATGGCGAGTTCAGAGCAACCTTCCCTGAGCAGCCAGTTTAAACTATGCCACCCATTATTCTCTCAGAGCATCAGCTTCCCTCCCTCCACAGCCCAAACACCCTGTATGATGGTTCACCCTTCTGTCTTCACTAGTTGGTGCCTTTTTCCACTCACAGATCACAGACTGTGAGAGGGCAACAATGTATATGTTTTGTTTATCACTGCCTTGGGCAGTACCTGGCACACAGTAGGTCTTCAATATGTCATGTGAAGAAAAGGTGGGGAAGAGAGGACAGGACTATCCCTTTAGAATCTGAGTGGTTGTCTGAAGGCAGCTCTAGTTCCAGCCCATTCTACATCCCCCAGCAAAACTCTTCCCTGCTGGGATCCTTGATTTCCTCAACTGTCAAATAAGGGTCCTAGAAGAGAGGACCTCTAATGGCCTTCTAGCTCACCTGATCTTCAGACCACAGGTCCTAGCAAGCCTTGAAACTCCAAAAGCCTCAGGCCCCCAAGCCTCTGCTGCCTCTTACCCACCTCTAGCCCAGCTAGCACTTTAGACAAGCTGGGGCACAGGGACTCCCCAGCCTGTGAGGGGCCTTCACACCTGCTGCAGGGGAGAACCAGAAAACCTGACTTCTCTTCCAGTTCTAACAGCTCAGGTTCCTTTCTGTTTGTTTTGCAGTATTGGGAACTTAACCCAGGGACATTCTCCCACTGAGCTACATCCCCAGCCCTTTTCAATTTTGAGACAGGGTCTTGCTAAGTCACTGAATTTGCCTTGAACTTACGATCCTCCTTTCTCAACCTTTTGGGGAGCTAGGATTATAAGCATGCACCAGCTCACCCTGCTCCGCTTATGTCTCTAATGTACAGAGTAAATGGGAGATGAGATGACAAAGGAATAACAAGAATTTCCCAGGGAACTTCCTCTGCTTTCTTTTTCAAGGACCTTGCCCCACCTGACTTCTCAATTTCTCTGCCCCCCAGACACTAATAATCCAATCCAACTCTGTCCCTGTCATGTGTATGCAGCTGCTCCTGCTCTAGGCTGGAGCTCTAGCAGAGCTAGAGACTATCTGTGTTTTGTTAATCTTTGTACTCATGGCACCTTGTACTCCCTATGGCCAAGGTGAGGCCACCAAATCCATCACTGTTGGCAGGGCCTGTCAAGATCTGCTGAAGATGCCACTTCCCAAGGGCAGAAGGACCTGAGGCGAAGAGAACCTGGTTTCCCATTCAGAGGCAGAACCAGCTGAGCCCCGCAAGCCTCTGGCCCTCTGTGTTCTTGGCACCCCTTCACCAGGCCCCACACTGGCAGAAGCAGTCATCCCGTGCTGGGGAGTCATCCCCTCTGAGATGTCTGCAGTCACTTGCTCCCCACCTAACTAGCCAGCCAGAATTAACACACCCTGAACTTGTTGTATCCTCTGCCCCATTTTCCTGAGAATGGCACTTTTGGCTTTGGAGTTTGTCTTTAAAAATGAAGAAAAGTAAAAGACTAGTCCTGATCCAAGAGTTCTATAAAGGAAAAAGGCTACTTGTTTTATCTGTTGAATACAACGGATACCCCAAACTGCTGGGGTTTTATGTTGCCGGGTGTGTGGGTATTCTGGTGAGCCCACGTGACTATGCAGTGTCGTTCTCACAGGAGAGAGCAGGACAGGTGTGCATGTGCAAACTGGACTGGTCAGCACCTTGGCTAAGTCACTTGCTGCCTCTTTGGGCAGCTTGCTGTGACTTTGGGCAGCTTGCTTAAACTCTGGACTGCAGTTTCCTTATTTGGAAAAATGACAGTAGAAATAATTCCTATTTCACACATTGTTGTGAGAATCAGACTTCTTAACTGGTGTTTTGTAACTAACTGCTAAAAAACATCATCCTGCCAGGTGCAATGGTGCATGCCTGTAATCCCAATTAGTCAGAAGGCTGAAACAGGAAGATCATAAGTTCGAGGCCAATCTTGGCAATTTAGTGAGAACCTATCTCAAGATAAAATTAAAAAAAAAAAATTTACTGGGATGTAGCTCAGTGGTAGAACACTTATCTACTAACATGCATAAGACTGTGGGTTCAATCCCCAATACAGCAAAAACAAAAACAATGAAAAACACCATGTAAGTGTGAGCAGTTATTAGAAATAGAAGACCTGAAAACTCATGAAAATCCTAATTTCTCTCCAAAGAGTAATTGGTTTTACTCCTCAGAGTTCAGCCCTGACTGCATTCTGGGTTGAACCAAACTGACAATGCACTAAGTAATCCAGATCCCAAGAAACTTCATGACTAGGCTCATGTGACTGTTTACTCAATGCAAATCCATTTACAGGAGATTACTCCACCTCCTCCCATTCAGGCTCTGAGCTTAAAAACCAAAATCCTGGGAACCAGTATGGAGAATCCCAAGTGGGGCTCAGAAGAAAATCAATGGGTCAGGTCTCTGTCCAGAGCCTGAAGAGGGATTTGTGAGAAAAGTAACACATGAGACAAGAATCATTAAGATTTGTCACAGCTGTCAGATTGCACTGAAAACACAGATCTCAACAGTTCTAGCCCCTTCTTCTAGCAAGTCTTGATTACCAGAGACATGACTGTTTGCAGAGTCACCCATGAAGATGAATAAGCCCCAGGCTTGTTATTAAAGCGTCCCACTATTCCTTGACAAGCCCATGTCTTACAACACCAACTGACAATTCACCAAAAGGCAGCATAACTGGCCTCGGATCACATCCTCTCCACCAATCTCTTACCTCCCCAGCTCCTCTCCGATGTCATAAAAGTCCTCCACCTTCTGCTGCTTGAACGTCTCCATGTTTGGGCTCCTCATGGAGGCCTGGACCATACAACCCTGAAATTGGAAGAAACCTGACATTAGAAGGGCCATGAAAATAAGCACAAGCCTCGGAGTCTAAGAACTCAGAACAGCTGGCTGCAAGGGAGCTAATATTTTAACGGTGATCCACAGCCCTGGTTCCTCAAGAAATGCCCTACTCCAGCTTTCTTTTCACTTGGACTGACTATGTATGGTTCATAGGAGTCATCTTAATTCAGTTTATTTATTTATTTAGAGACAGGGTCTTGCTAAATTGTCAAGGCTGGCCTCAAATTTGTAATCCTCCCCTCAATCTCTGGAGTATCTGGGATTACAGGGATGAGTCACAACATCTGTTTGATTTATTCAAATTTATTAAGGAGATGGAAAAAGAGTCTTCCTTACTTATTCTGAAGAAGTTCTGAGAAAAAGATCCATGGTGAACTATTTGCTTTCATTACGTTCAGATCCACTGAGAAAAGAAAAAAACTGTGGTACAGTAATGGAAGCACTAGTTTTTGAGTCAAAAGTCCCAGGTTCAAGTCCCATTCTTACTTGGGTAAATCATTTAGGCTGCAAGGGATTTAGCATCCTCATCTGTAAAATGGGCTAATACTGTAAAAGTCAACTTCAAGTCATGAAATTGTTTTGTAAATGACGAAATGCTATATAGAAAGGCAAGGGATTATCATGACCTCAGCTCCCTTAGGGGTTGTGCCACCCAACTGCAAGTCTGAACAGATTGGTAACTGCTCTCACTCATCACCCCAAGGGGAAAATGGGCGGGAATGATGTGACAAATTACAACAGGTACCAAGATCAGAAGCCTGAGGTGCTGATTCCAGCTTTGACTGCAATTAGATTTGTGACTTCACTGCTTGTCAGAGAGGCTTGGTTTCCTCATCTATAAAGTGGAACTAAGTTCCTGCTGAGGGTACCTTCATGAGAACCACAGGACTACTCTAAGCCATAGAGAGCACTCATCACTCCACTATAAGAGACTGTTTGCATCCTCCCCTGGGATCCTCACCTATTCCTGAGACAGCTACTTGCCATCCTGGACAGCACCCTAAGGGCAGAGCCCAGGGTATAGTCTGCCAATCAAAAAGATAAAACCTGTGGACCTGTCTTTCAAAAGTTGTCAATTAGCAAAGGCCTCTCAGAGCCCATTTTGCCTAGCATGGGAAGCATCTCTGCCTGCCAAACAGATGCCAACCACACCCAGGCTCCATGAACCTCAAATGATTAATTTCACCAGGCAGGGTGGAGACACCGTGACATAAGGGCACATCTCACCAACGCCAAGTGGCTGAAGCTGTTCTAATTCTCAGGGGATATATACATTTCACCTTTCCTCCAGCTCTGCCCCATGCAAATCAGAGTGCCACTATCTAGATGCCACCTCCACTTTCCCTTCTGCTAAGGAACACATCCCTGAGACCCCCAGGCAGAGCTGGGCTGGCTCCCAGGTTTCATTCTCAGGATCACCTGCCTGTCTGCGTCTACAGTCCCTCATGTATCCTCTCCCTGCTTGGTCTCTATTCTTCAGTAAGGTCCAGGACATGGAATATCAAAAATAGCAGGCCCTAGCAGCCCCAGGTCTGGACTAGCTTGGTGTTTATTAGCCCTGTGGCCCACAGCAGGGTTCCACCCTCTTTGGGCCTCAGTCTCCTCAAATGTAAACAGAGGTGACATTATCCATATCACCTACTTCACACATCCATCTGGGAATTCATTGTGATAAGGATTATAAACTGCTGTATAAATGAGGAGGGTGATTATTAATGTTATTTGATGCATCGCAGACTATTGTTTGTGTTTCTGTTCCCCACAGCCATTGAGACAACCAATTTGGCTCCTTTCTCAGGAAAAAAGGCTTGGGGCGCCCCAGCAAAACCAGAATCAGAAGCTAGAACTACCCTCACCCCCAACATTATGGCAAATCTTCTGAGACTAGTCTTAGAAGAGGTGGGATTGCTGTCTACCATCTTCTTTTTGCTGAAAAACTCCTTCCAAACAAACTATTTAGGTCAGGTCGTGGGGGTGGGGTGACTAATCTCATACAGCTAGATGTAAGCAGAAAACTCCAAAAAATTTTTTGTTGGCAGAAACCCTGAAAGTGGTCCCAGAAACAGCTAAGAACTTCCATTTAGTGAGATGCCAGCTCCATTCACCATCAGAGACTGAGCTGCATTTGAAGAAGCCCCAGTTCCTTAATAAAATGGCTCCACATCCTGGTTGGCCAATGTCAGCAAGCAGAGGTGCAGCCTAAGGCTCAACTCACCTGCCCAATTGGCCTCAACTCATCTGTCCAGCCTTAGACCCCTCTTCCATATATTCTGTATCACAGCCAAAGTAGACCTTTCCCATTTCCCCCAAAACTTTCACTCCTGCCTGGCCTCAGCTGGAGCAGAGCCCTTTCTACAGAAGCCCAACCTGGAAAGCCCTCCAGGCAAAATCTCTCCTTTCCTGAAAGGTCCAGCCCAAAAGCTACCATCTCTATGAGGTACCATGATCCTTTTCCTCCTGCAAACAAATGAAAATTCTCCCCTTCGTTAAATTCCCAAAGAGTGTTTGTTCTTCATACATACTTAGGGTTAGAATTTTGCAAGTTCTGGTTCAGATCATAATCTATGTCTATTTCTATCTCAGAGGGTGGCAGCACAGATTACACAGTCACACAGGTCTGGGTTCAAATCCCAACTCTGTCACTTACAAACACATTGTCTTTAGCTGAGCACAGGATAACTTTTCTGAACTTAAAACTACTTCCAAGGGAACTGGACCTATACAATGCCTGCTGTTGCTGAGTATGTGGAGCAGGGAGAGCTCTCAAACACTGTCTGGGAGAGTACAAACAGGGACAACCACTCTGGAAAACTGTGGGGGTGGGGGGTTTTCTACAGAGATAACTAAATAAATGCATGAAGCTCAGACTGGGGTTGCAGCTCAGGGGTAGACTATATGAGGCACTGGGTTGTATCCTCAGCACCACATAAAAATAAATAAATAAAATAAAGGTATTGTGTATGTATATATATATATATATACATACGTACATACACACACACATACATATATATGGAATGCACACAGCTATTTTCCAGAATGGTCCATGTTTGAATATTCATAGCAGCACTATTAGGAATAACTAAAAATTGGAAGCAACCAAATAATTACCAAGAGAAGAATGGATAGATAAATTCAGATGTATCCATACAATGGAATCATACAAGGAGAATTAACAAACTACTGCTACCTGCAACAATAAAGTTGAATCTCATAAACAAACATGTTGAATAAGAGAAGCCAAATATAAAAGATTATATAGTGTGTGGTTTCATTTAGGCAAAACTAACCCATGGAGCTAGAAGTCAGAACGATGGTTCCACCTGGGTGGGAGGTTGTGACTAGAAGGGGACATGGGAGATTTCTGGGTGCTGGCAATGTTGGTTCTCAAGCTAGGTGATGGTAATGTGGACATATATGTATGGTAAGGTGGACATACATCCATATGGTAATGTGTATGTATATGTTTTTCAATTGCAATCAAAACTTTATAAAATTTTAAAAATTAGATTAACTTCTACTTTATGGGACAAGTAAGATGTGAAATGTTTGAAATGGTCCCTGGACAATTCCAATATGTGAGTTTCTCCCCTCCTGCCTATTGTCTTGGAGCCCCACAAGTCCCTCGTAGTAGCTAGTCTATAGCAGACACACCACAAATGTTGGTTGGTTTGCATTTAGTGCCCCAGCCTCCTTTCTCAAGGACATAGCTCATACAGTAAAAAACTGGTAACAGCTTAAAGCGCTTTCCTAATACCTCCCCCAAATTGACTGCACTTGACCAGTGTAGAAGTATGCAACTAAAGTAGAGAAACTCTGAGGTAGAATTATTGTCACCATCTAGGACAGGCATCTTTCTAACCCTGAAAAGCTGAAACCACATGGCAGAGGGGAGAGACATGGCTACAACTTTTGGCCAGAGGCACAGGTCATTAGTTCCAGACATTCAAAGGATGAGACTCATCTTAGTGCCCACATTTCTCTTAATAGGGTCCTTGGAATTCACATTCCTGCCCACCACCTCAATACCAGGCAAAACCCTGGGGTGCTAACAGATTTCCTAGGACCCCACAGAAAGGGACCTCACAGATATGTTGGTATTCAGGAATTTTTAGCCTCTGCTTCAGTAGCCAACAAGGTGACAAAGTGGGGCCAGAGCAGTTTCACACTCTCTGTGATACACGCTGGGATTCTGGGTAAAAACTCACTGTGAAACAGAAGTTTGAAACCACTGCTGTCTGGTCTAAGCCACTTGTTTGACAAAAGGAGGAAACTGAGGTCCAGACAGGGGAAGGGACTTACCAACAGTCACACAGCTAGCCCACTGAACTTCTCAAGGCTTCTGTTGATAGCCATCCAGCCCCTCCAAGGGTGGTGTGGGGCTGGGAAGTCAGTGACCTCCTGGGGTACAACCTAGGAGATGTTCAAGCCTGAAAAATCACCTCACATTCACAAAGCCCTCTCCCCCACTGTCCATAGTTCACTCTACAAAGTAAGCTCTCTGAATACCTCACCCAGTAAGTGACAGATATGGGACCATGGCAGGGACAGGCAGTGGTTTGGGTCAAACACAAATGACTGTCCACTTATACACACCCACATTAGGAATCACCACATTCATGCTGTGGGGAGGCTGTCAAAAAGTGGGGGGGGGGGGATTACAGAGCCCTTCTAGCCACTCCTGGCTTTGACCCACCACAATCCCTGATGAGGAAGTTGGGGCACAAGAGGTCAGCCACCTGCCTAAGCTGACATGAGAAAAACTCCTGGTAAAGATCCGGCTTTGCTGGTCTGGGGATGTGGCTCAAGCGGTAGCGTGCTCGCCTGGCATGAGTGCGGCCCGGGTTCAATCCTCAGCACCACATACCAACAAAGATGTTGTGTCCGCCGAGAACTGAAAAATAAATATTAAAAAAAAAAAAAAAAAAGATCCGGCTTTGCTTGTTCATCTTCTCATCTAACAAATAGAGAGGTTTCAGGGAGGCCATCAGGATCAGAAACTTGTCCCAGCACAGCAGATGTCCACCCTCATCCACACACTCCTGAACCTCTATCGAAGCCCTGCAGGAAGGTTCTGAATTATCAGTGGGGTCACTTTAGGTGCTGAAACACATCTTGGGGAATATGGGGGAAAACGGCTCTGAAGTAACCATGAAGTTGCCATGACACCAGCACCGCTCAGTCAACAGTCCCCAGAAATTACGCAGAGGCAGTTGGGAAACAGTGTCAGAAACCAGAACAGCAACCCCCAGCTGCCCTCCACTGGAGTTTAGAGTACAGGGTGCCAGGGGCTGTGCTTCATCTGCCTGAGGCAGCCAGCTATAGTGCCCTCTCCAGTGTGCATTCCTTGTGCACCCCTAACTTACCACTACCCGCATGGCTTCAAAGCAGCTCACGCCACTAGAGCTCGTCCTGTCCTTATAAAGCCAAAACTCATTTCCACCTTGCAGAGTTACAGTGAGGGTTAGACAAACCAAGATACGCTGTGAGATATCCACAATGCCTGTCCAGAGTCCAGGCCAAGCCCTGGCAATGCCCTTCCACCCCAGCGTGCAGAAAACCCGCTGGCTGCCTCCACGCGCAGCTGAGCTCTGCGCACCCTAGTGCTGCCCCGAGCGGGGCTCCTGAAGCAGGGGCCCGTAGCTCCCGACGTACTGAGCACCCTCCTCGCATCAAATCCTGGGCCTCGGGCACAAGAGATGTGAAAGACAATAGAAGCAGAGAACCTCGGCCTCTCTCCTCCCGAGCATGCTCTTCCCTTTTGAGGGGGCTTAACTTGATGGAAGTCTGCCCCCCCCCCCATCCGCGCCAGGCCTCTGCTGGCCGCCCCAGCCTGTCAGGCTCCCCAGCGCGCCTGGGGTAGCAGCGTGCAGATTGGCGACCTGATCCCGGACACACTGCCCAGGGCACTGCCGGCCATACCCCGGGCCGGCGTCAGGGATCCACGAAAGAGCGCCCCGGGACTCTGCCCCGTCGGACCCAGCCACTGGCGCTGCTGCCGTCGGGCTGCCTGGGTGCCCGGTCCCGCCCGTCGAGCCCGCAGACCAGCGCTACTCACGGCTGGAGGCTGCGAAGCGGCGGCCGCAGCGAGCACGACGGGACGGGGCGCGGCGGGGTTCCCGGCGCCCAGCACCACTCTTCTAACACAGCGCCCAGTGCCGGCCGGCAGAGGTGGAGGAGCCGAGGGGGCGGAGCGGCCGGCCCTGTCCCAGGCGCCGGCTGGAGGCGCGCCCGGCAGGCGGCCCGGGTTCTGGGCGCCCCCTGCTGGGAACCCCCTCCCGGCCGCCCTGCTGTGAGGGCCTAAAGCCCTCCTACTGTTCCCCGAGGTCACCTCAGGGCTCTGAGGCTCCCAAGAGACCCAGCAAGAGGTGACATCAGAGTGTCCTTTCCCACTCTTGCCCTTTACTTACTGGGCAGCCTTGGGCAAGTCAGCTAACCCTCTGAGTCTTGTCTGTTTGACTTAAATGAACTAATAGGTGTACTACATAGTCTGGCCAACTGCTCAGAAAACAGCATTTCCAGGCACCCCTGCCTCACTCCAACCCCTGCCCAGCCCCTGCACCCAGAGTATTCCCTGATTTCGCGCAGATTCTTCTGGGAACCTCACCGCCCACGTCTCACAGCAGGGTAGCAGCTGTGATGGGAACACTCCCTTCCTCAACTGCCCCCACCCAGTTTGGGAGGTTCCCGGCTCATTGCCCTTTGCAGCCCTAGTCCTGACACTGCTAGTGAAACCCCCACATCACCAAATTTATTTTCCTAATAAAAGACTTGGGAGTGGATTCTTCCTCTCTTTCTTCTTTCCAAAGGAAAAAATAAATTATAGTGGAGGAGGTGATGGGAGAAAGGAAATGGAAACAAGCTAAACCAAGTTCAGTGGTCTTATTTCAAGACAAGAATCCTATTAGCAGAAGAAAACAAAGTCTCCGTCTCCTTCCCAGAGCTTTTATTGCTAGATCACCAATGGGGCTCCCCCAGAGAGCTGAGTGTTAGATGCAGAGTCCTATGGCCTAGCTCAAAGCCATATTCTGCCCTCCCTATGTGTGGTCTTTGAGTGCCTCTTCATCAGTGAAGTGGGAGAAACATCCCTTTCAGTAGCTTCCAGGGGAGCTACTGTGGTGCCAGAATGGCAAAGTAAGATGCACTTAGAGGAGCTTTACCAATGTGCACCTACTGTCCCAACTTTAGCCTTGTTTGGGGGGCAAGGTACCAGGGATTGAACTAAGGGAGCACTTGACCACTGAGCCACATCCCTGATCCTATTTTTTTTTTTAATTTTATTTTATTTAGAGACAGGGTCTCACTGAGTTACTTAGTGCCTCACTTTTGTTGAGGCTGCCTTTAACTCAAGATCCTCCTGCCTCAGCCTCCAGAGCCACTGGGATTGCAGGTACGCCACCATGCCCAGCCACTTTAGCCTTTTGGACACTGGGATTCTGACAGATACACATAGATCCTGCCCCACAGCAAGCAGTGCCTCAGCCTCTTGGAAGATCCAGAGCTTCTGTACAACATTCCAGGACAGGGTAGGCTCTGAACCTGTCCTGAGAACACCATGCTATGTGGGATAACATCCACCTCAGAGGCAGCTTCTGAAGTCAGTGGGCAGAGGGGAAGAATACCCACTAATGAGGTCTTTCCTGCAGAGGGAGGCCCCTCACCCTCCAACCATCCCTGACACCTGCTCCCCCATTTCCAGTTATCTATTGCTATATAACAAACCATTTCAACCTTGGTTTTACAAAACAATGATTTCATTATATTAAGGCATTCTGAGAGTCAAGAATTCAGACAGCTCAGTGTAGGGGGCTTATCTCTGTTCCACAATATTTGACTTCAACAGGGAAGTCTAGATTGCCTGACAGTGACTTAGATGGCTGGGGGCTAGAATCATCTGGAAGCATCATGTCCAGTGCCTGGGCTGCAGTGAGTTCAAGCATGAACTCAGTTGACACTGCTGAGCACCTACCTGGAGGTAACTGCTCCACCTCTCTCCCCTAAGCCTCATGTTCCAGAACTAATTTTCAGCAGTAACATCCCCTTACCTGAGTCAAAGCAGACATTCTTGAATTTGGCAGTTGGCAAATTAGTCAGAGAACATTGTAGCTCAAAGGGTCATTGTCAGTCAACCCATCCATCCCAGTCTTTTTTCAGATGAGGAAACTGATGCTCAGAGAAGGGCAGTCACTAGCCCAAGACCACACAGATGGTGAGAAGCAGAGCTAAGATTAGAACAAGGTCTCCTCCAGATTCAGTCTCACGGTTGTTCCATTGTACCTGCCAACATGCATTTGCTATTTGGAGTTGCATTTTATGCCTGAGGCTGAGATTCATCAGATTCTCACCTGAGGGCAGAAACAGGACACTGAGCACTGAACATTTGGGACTAAGGTAGCAGTAGAGAGGGAAAGGGAGGCTCAAAGATAGCAGCACCAAAGATACCTACTGCAGAATGAAGTCAGCGGAGGTCCAGGTATTAAGAGCTAAGAACAATATAATTAAGCTCCAACTCCTGTGTGGTTCGCATAGCTGAACAAATAGAGTCCAATGCCTCGCCCTGGCATGTAAGGTCCCTACCTGCATTGTCCTGCTTATGTATCTTTGTTCATGTATGTGCCCATCCAGCTCCTTTGCCAGGTTGGATTTCTGACTATTCCTACATCCATGCTTTTGTTCAAGCAGTTCCCAACATTATCCTACAAAATCCTCTCTATTCTTTGAGGGCCCTCTGCAGTATCCTGTTTTCCATGGAAATTTCCATGATCTGCCCTCTAAATGCCTCTCTCCTCTCAACCCCACCGCTCTGGTTTGCACCTCTCTTGCCATTCCTCCTTCTCTAATTTAGTTATGATTAGTGTCTACTTTTCTTTTCTTCACGGCAAAACAATATTTTGTTCATTTTGAAGCCACAGAGTGCTTGATATCCCAAACCTAATAAAAGTTTGTTAAATTGAATTGCAAGAATATAAATGCCAAAAGGAAAGAGACCACACATGTCATGTTTTCTATTGTCTCCCAAGAGCATCCAAGTGCCTGGTGCTTGGGAGATGCTGAATAATCACATATTGGACAGGCAAATGCATAATTAATTTTAATAGCTGCCACATACTACGTTTCTTCTAACTTACGTCTTCCCAGTGCTTTATTTCATGTCAAGTGCTTTACTTTAAGGTGAAAATTATTCTTCCCTTTTACAGACGAGGTAACTGAGATGTGGGGAAGTTGATTTGACCAAACTCAACTCAACTTGTAAGTTATTAAGCTGTGATGTGAACCTTGCCTGCCCAGCTCCAAAACCCAAGCTTTTTCTACTTCCCCCACTGTCTGCCCTCACTTGACATTTCCAAAATTACTAAAATTAGTGTCAATGCAGGGACTATGCCATGTTCAGACTACATATTAGATCAATTTTATCAGAACCTGTAGGGGTGGGGTCTGGGCATCGTAGTTGTTAATTCCTCGTAATTCCAATGCACAGACTGAGAACACTTTGTTCATTTCACAGAAACCTGGGGAAATGATAGCATCCTCCACCAACCCACCAAACTGCAAAAACATCTGAGCACTTGCCTTGTGAAAGACACTCCAAAGACTATGAAATGAGAGAGTCAGAGGAGCTTGAAGTTTCTGTAGGATGAGACCATGAGGACCCAGGTTAATGATGTAACTGTGGAAGGCAGAACAGGGAAATGACAATGGCAATATCCTAGAGCATACTTTGGTACCCGGTGAGTTTACAAAGCCTAACAACCTTCTGACAAGGAGTCAGGGCAGGATTTAAGCTGCTGCATGTGTTGGCCATGGGAGATGGCCCTGGAGATGGCTTAGAGGATGGATAGGGTGAGGGCTAAATGCAGGAGCTCTGACAACAGACTGCCTGAGTGTGGATCCTAGCAAGCAACTGACTTACTGTGTGATCTAGAGCAGGCTACTAGAGCTCTCTGTGCCTCATTTTCCCCAGAAGTCAAATGGAGCTAATAATAGCATTTGTCTCTTAGGTTGTTAAAAACATTTGGTTAGTTATTAGTAAGTGTGGAAGATCAGTGTCTAACACTTTGCAAAGTGTTCAATTAGTATTAGCTATTTTTGTTATTTTTAAAAATGTCTGGTATGAGCTCCCTTGGGGAGAAGATGGATCTTATTCATCTTTGCACCCAACTCCACCTCCACCTTGACCAACAGATTTTTAACAAGTGTCAGATAATCTGGAAGGTGGGCTTCTTGTCAATGGATCCAGTGTGTCACCTTTCTCAGGTGATCAGGCAGACCAGGGGATTCCTCTCCAGCTGGCTTACTCCCTGGGTAGCAGGAAGGCAGGAAGTCTCCTCCTTCCAAAGGTGGCCTAACTTTTCTCAGCCCTTCTGCCACCCTGCTTTGTGCCCTCTGCTCTCCCACACCTAACCAGGCAAATTTGGCAAATTAGATACTTCTGCCCAGCACTTTGAATTCCAAGTAAGTAAAGCCAGGATGTTCACAGTGAGTGTCAACAGCAGTCAAGGCATCCTGGACAGATAACATTCAGCCTCCAGAGCCCCTTTGTTCCCTACTGTCCTAGCCTCCACTGATTCTGAGTTCCTTTAGCTTTCTGGTAAATCCTTTTGTGCTGAGTTGACAAGAATGTGACCGATACTAGGAAAGACAGGAACAGACACATTTTCGAACCTCTTCACGGAGTTCAAGGATCCAAGGTTGACAGCGGGCAGCTGGCCTGGATAGCAACCAGACCAGATTGTAACAGGGGTAAAAGGGGATCCAGTGGGGGTGTCTTCAAGAAAAAAGTGAAACTGATACACCAGGCACCATGTTTCAACCTAGAATAGTGCTCTTGGAGAAGAGATTTAGTGATGAATTTATTCTCCTTTTCTCAGAAAATTAAATGAATATAAAGCAAAGTGATTATTAAAGCTAGAAAAAACAAAAAGGTGTATAAACAAGAGAATGTCATCAATACACTATGGCTCAGTTTTGAACTGTGAATAATATTTATATGTTTTTAAAATGTGAATGATACATTTTTAAATTATCTCAGTGGAGAGATGTATGGGAATGGGGAAAAGTATAAGCATTAAATCCTAATCTGTCATAATAGGAAGTTAATAGATTAAAAAAGAAAAGAAAAGCCATGAAATTGCATTATAATAATGTTTTTTAGAAATACAATGATAAACAACAAAATAAATAGCTTTGATAT